AACTAATTAAGAGTCGTTTTAGAACTAACAAGCATTTCAGAATTATAATATTCAGAAAAGTGAGATAAAAAACAGGGAATAGAAATTTTCCTGTAGAACTATTTAAAGCATTTTGGAAGTCAAGCGTACATTTCTCTTCTGAAATAATGTTATTATGGGAAATTCTAACACCATTGGCTGCTACGTCGCTTGCTCCATTAATCTAAAACTTAATTGTGTAGGAGCTACGAGATTTAAATCCTTATTTATAACTCTGTTAACGTTGTTTAGGAAATAAATCTTCTAAAAACAGAACCCATAACTATATGGCCAACGCCGTTATCACAAAAAATATATGCCTTACTGGCTCAGGAATATTATATATTTCAATATTTTATTGCATAAAGTAAAATGCTTTAAGTAAAGAATTTTTTTGATCAAATAAATTGAGGTCTAATAGATCTTTTATATGCATAGGGGTAGCCGCCGGGGTGGTGGGGGAGAGGGGTCCATTTAAAAATTTGATTGTTCTTGTAAAAATTATTTTACCTAATAAAAATTTCCACCCTACACCCCCCCCTTTCTCCCCTTAAACTTTTCTCCCCCCAAAATATTTATAACAATATATCATTATAAGCACTAATCTGAGAGAAAAATAATATTAATTATTTTTACAATAAAGACCCTAATTTAAGATTTTTAGAAAAAAAAATGAAGACGCAAAATTAATTTTATAAGAATCTAATAAACCCCAGCTTGTAATGCTTCCCATTCCCCCTAATAAAATTCCGGCTATGCCTATATGTAAGTGTGAAGGTTTAAGTCCATCTAGGCTCCTAATGGAACCTTTTTTGAAAAATTTGAAGGCTATAAATACTTCAAGGGATAAAGGATGAGGTGACGTTCTAAAAGATGTTAATATAAAATTAGAGAATATTACTGGATACATATTACTTACTATAGGGACGATGTTATCGTTGAATAAACCAAACGCCACTAATATAGCTTACATTTATTCTTTGGCTAATAAGCCAAATATTGATATTTTTATGTAAATTTACTAATAGATAATTGAAGACATTGTAGGATTTTATTTATAATGTGACTGGTTATATTTATTTCGTTTTTTGAAGATCTTTTTGGTTTTTAAGAATTTTATAACTAAACGATAAAAGATTATGACATAATTCTAATGAATTCCAATTATCTAATAATTTTAATATAGATAGGGTAGGGTTAAGAATTAGCAAGAGATCATGGCTCATTAGGTATTCTAAAAATAATTAGATTATTACAGAGCTTAATGAAATTAGGGTAATGTTCTTAAATTATGGATTGTTGAATTCGAGGCAGAACAATTTGTATTTGATACTCAAATACCGCGACTTATACCAATGTTCAAATATTAAGGAGGGTCAGTAGAAGCATATTGTAAAATAAATCTCTTTATTCTCTTTTGAATAATTTGCGATAAGTAAAAGGTTATTGATTTATTGAGAAATTATTTTATAGAGTAACCACTATATTATTAGAACCTGCATAAATGAAGGAACATTTTTTTCCTTATAAAGAATAAAAACTTTCTATGTGACCTTCAGATGATAGATTGAATGGCTTAGCTCTTGTATTAACATATATAAAAATTTGACACCAAATATTACGAAATCATTTAAAAATTAGCCCAATCACTATGGATTTCATAAATCCCTTGCCGGATTAATATAGAGGCAATTTAGCTCCATTTTTAGCCGTTATATGCATTTGATATTTTATAACAAAGCTTTTGTTACTCATAAATTATATTTGATAATTTTACAGATTATTGAAATTTTCAATTTTTTAATGTCACTATTTCTACTAAATTTAATATATTTTAAATGTTTAATAATGACCCTAAGATAATTGGAATATTTCAAAGAATCCCCCCCACACTCCCTCAAATCGAATTCTTGGCTATGCGCAGATTATGGCATATGAAATTATTGCACTAGCCCATTTTGAATTTATTTTCTTTATAGGCAAATACAAAATCTTAAACATCTAGAATTATATAATCTTTTTAAATCTCTACTAAATCGATTTGTCCACTGCTTTGTAAAAATTAGTTTTAAAACCATGTTTATTATTTTAATATTTCCTTTTTCATTTTTATTGAATCATCCTTACACTATTTTTTATTCACAAACAATCGGCTATCCATTGGTTAAATTATTTAGTAGAATCTCTCCATAAAGGATTTATTTACTTATTATAATAAATAATAAATTTTAAAAAAATTTATTAAGCAAGTAATACATATTAGATGATTCAAATTATTTGATTTTAAAAACAATAATGCTATTTCTATTATATTATTATTATAACCGATAATTAGATATATTAAATTTAACACTTCATTCATAATGTGGAAAAAAATAACAAGAGGGACCTCCATCCAGGATACGTCAATCACCTTAACTTCCGCTTGAACTACTAGAAAATATAGGAGGGAAGATAAAATATGACATACTCTTATTTATTCCTTGCCTTAATATTTAAGATATAGCATTATTGTCTATCTCTTTATATTATATTCTTTTAAAATCTACTTTAACTTTAGGTTGTATACGAAAATTCAGAGCATAAATGAAGATTTTAGATACATTTTCCATGATACCTATTTACAAGTGTATTGCATTTACAAATAAAATTATCATTTCATCTCTCTGCATTAGAGCTAACTCTCAACTTTAGGAGAGCCTTCTCAAGTATGTTATATTATTTATTATTTAAATGCTGCTTTTTCTATATTGGCAAATGAATTGAAAAATCTTTAATATCTCTATAGTAAATTTAATATGATAAAATATATTTTATTTCATTCATTTAAGTTTAAAAATATTTCATAATTTTGTTATAGTAAAAATAAAACTTTGAAAAAAATTCCTATGCGGCTCTACTGTTTAAATTGATTGCTTCAAATGTATGTCCTACCCCCTTGCAAACTGTGTAAAATAAGTTGATGAGGGTCAGATACCCACGGACAAAAAATTCAATAGAAAAATGCAAAAGTACAAAAAGTATATTAAAAGATCATGTATTCATTTAAAAAATGTCTAAATTTTGGTCAAAGCAAAAAATAACATTTTTTAAAAATAAGTTTAAAATAATTATTATATATAATATACCCACCTATTTTTATTTATTTTTTATGGGTATTTATATTTTATGGGTAACACATTATAGTTCTATACCTTAACTCATCATAAAGTCATGTAAATTCGAGAAGGAAACAGCAAGTAAGGAGAATATGGTTTTCATAGCAAATGAGACTGCATATAAACTCAATGTATTCCCTAAGATTACCTAGAAAAAATAATCTAGGAAAAAAGTCAAAAGTAAAAAATATATAATAAAAATTGGATGTATGTCCAAATTAGTTTAATTGGATGTATGTCCAAATTAGTTTGCAATTCTTCTAACTGCTTAAATATTTACTGCCATCTAAATTTCAAATTGTTTTTTTAAATAGTAAAAATTAAATATAAAACACATTTTTTCAGGCTATTATATAATTTATAAAAAAAAATAGATAAATATACTAAGGCTATAATATAAATTATAAAAATAATACAATGCCTAGAATATATAATTTATTATATAGATCTACTCAGGGTATATATAATTTATTAAAGATATATCTGCTAAAACTACGATATTTACAAAATGTAGATTATTATTAACAATTTATTTATTTTTAAATATATTCGCTAATATTGCAATTAAGTATTCCTATTATTTCTTGTTCATGTGATTAATCTATTTCTTTGTTGAAACGAATTATTATTGACTTTATTGGATTAGATTTAAATATATATTTTTCCTTGATATGACTAAATAGGTATGAGCTTAGGCTTAGCAGTTACCTTTTAGTTTAATCATACACAAATTTCCCTGACATACCCCCCCCCCAACACTCCGGCAAAATTAGACTGTACATTATCTCATAATTTTAATAAATTAAGAAAAACTGCGACTATCCACAAAATTTCTAGTGATCAGACCCTATATATATACCAATATTTAGATTATTTATATTTATGTCATAAAAAATTTTAATAATTTCCATGAAAAAATAACTAAATCTATGCTATGAGAAAAACTTGCGCACCCCTAAATGATAAAGTCTCGTTAAGCCCCTTAATCAATGCACAAATTCTTTTCAAATACATTATATACGAGAGTTAGGAATAATATGCAAAACCCTCATAGATATTTAATGGTATTTTTATTTATTCTTGTGCGCTATTGTTTTCCAATTGTTTAATTTTAATTATATTTATATATTAATAAATATTTTATTTATTATTAAGAACAGTTTTTTCAATATTTGTTTGGTGACCTGCAAGCTGTATGTGCGGGTCAAAAAATAAAATTTAAATCAGGGGTGAAATTATTTTTCCTTATATTTATTTTATAAATAAATTAGAAATCTAATATTTTAGCGAAACTAAATCTTTTTTATACAAATATGTTTATAATAAAATCAAATAATTATAAGAGAAAAAAATATTTCAAAAGAATATCGCAAGGAGGTCGGGTAGCGACATTTTTATAAATATTGCTCTGGGCTGGGTCTAAAAATTTTTTTATTAACTCTGAATCTAGCATGGGTCATATTTTTAAATTTATTTTAGACCGCAGATTACCACAAATTTTTGGCCCATGCAGGTCTTTGATAAGTATAATATAATAAACTATATGTATTATATACTACACTATTATTATATAAATTCAATAGTTCTCTGCTCAACTCGCGCAAATAAATCTTCTATATGATTACAATTTTATACCAAAAATAAATAAATAAAGTAATTAAGTTTTACAAACAAATCGATTCAATCTTTCATAGTCTTGGAACTGGATTATTGGATACATTGTTGCATTATTTATCATTATCTTTTTAATGTATTAATTAAATCTGATCCCTCATTAATGAGATTAACGTCGTACGACTTTAACAATTTTAAATGATATTAGCTCTAATTGATTTTCTCATTCATATTAGAATCAATGACTTTATTTTGATTAACACTCATAAATCCGGACGATATAGCAGGATTTTCGAAGGTCAATCTAATTTCTTCGCTTATTTTCTCGTTAACCTTATCATCGAAATCCATATTGTCTAAAAAAAGTTGTTGTGATAACTTTTCCGATTTTAAAGCCAGCCTTTTAAGCCTAAAATTTTTGTACATCTTCTTAAAACATATGTAAATGAAAGATGTTAGAAAAAATGTGATACAAAATGATATACATATGATAAGGGTATATCGTTTATTGATTCCTACAGTATCCGTTGTAAATTTCGACATATAAGATTGAGTTCTTAAATTAATACAATCAATGATTGTGCTTCTGTTATCGATGATGGAACTATCCTGCTTAATTTCATGGTAAATAAAATTTTCCGAAGCTCCTAGGTAATTGGGAGCAAATCTTTTGAGTATTTTTTTATTTGCAACATCGTACGCCAGACACATCATATACAAAACATCAGGCTTTAGCATATCGACAGTGAGATCCTTTGAAAACTTATGAAATTTTTTTTTATAAAAACGGTTTTCAATAAATCTTTCTGTTTTAGCAAATACTCTCGAATTATATTCAACCGGGCGATAAATTATGACTAAATTGTCCCAAAAATATGGTAGATCGTCACTTTGGTATTCTTTGTCAAATTTTATTAGATTTTTTTCATAAATTTTTAATGAACTGATATAATTATCATAATAATTAACAAAAAAGTTTTTATCGGGGTGGAAAACCCTGATTGATTTCTCCTCATTCTCAGAACTCTTACTATGATTGACATTTGATAACTCTCTAGTACCGAATGATATTTTAATAAAATTTGATGCGACTTGAAGCGGAATCAGTTTCAAATGTTGTCTGTCTAATTTGACATTGATTGAGTAAGTGTTTTTGCTTTTAGAATTTTTAGCTTCACATTTATATAAACCGGTGTCATTCACGTTCGTAACCTTGAGGAATAAGGTGCCGTCTATTGAAAATTTCGAATATTCCATATTATTTGACAAAAAATAGAATAGATAGTTTTTTATATTATTTGGGTGTTCATATTTAGCATGATTATCTAAAATGGGAACAACAGTTGAATTAGAAAAGATCCAATGAACTATTAACTTAGGATGACCATTAGCTTTACATGGTATAGCTAATTTGTCCCCCAAATTGACTGTTAATTGTGGCCTGAGATATTCGTGAAAAATTTTTGACTTACATTTTTTGAATACATGTTTAAAATTATTTGATAGGACCGGTATATAGGGTATTATGGGTTCTTCGATGGATTCATATACATATTTTCCTTTAAAATTAGGAGAATTATCTTTGAAAAGGGATAAATTATAGGTGTAATTTGCCATAGAAATCGTTCGATTTTGTAAATGTAAAGATTGGTTATAATTAAATTTGAAAACATTCAAAGTTGGGGTCACGATCCCGAAATTATTTGATAGAAAAGATATGTTGGGCAAACAGTTTGCTATAGAATCATTTTCCTTTATTAAAACTATCATGTCCCTTTTCACCAGAAGCTTTAAAAAAATTAAAATAGATTAAGAATTAATAATAATATTCCAATGAAAGATTTAGCCCATGTTCCTTATTTTTGAAACTTATTTCTTGTTTAAAGTTAAGATAGCCTATTTTGGTTAATTTAAATTTGGACATTAAATATATATTATTTGTTATTTATAATTTTTTAAGGACAAATAAATCAAAGGCTCGTTAACCGTTTCATAAATCTAAATAGCCTCTTTCTTTTTAGGTTGTTTCGAGAAAGCTATATAGATGGCTAAAAAGACGACTGTTTAGAAGTAAGACGATTTAAATATTTTTATGAATAATTATATAATACAAAAAATAATTTAAAAAATAATTCATATTATAGTAGTGGCGCTAGAAGCGTGATTAGTAGACCAAGATTTTATTTGAGGAAACCTTAACATTTTATATTAGCAAAAATGTATGTTTGAGCATGCACGTATAAATCAATAAGATTAGTCTTTTTTTGCATTATGATAAAGGCTATTGCCGTCATTGATATAATATTACATACAATAATGAGTATGCGTATATATTAGAAATTATAACTTAATGACACTATTTATAAACCTTATATATCCAATTAATGTTGCAATCACAGATTATAGGATTGAACCGTATATCTAATAAACCTAAAGATGGTAAGTGTGATATCATATTTTGATTTATATTTTCCAAGCTATTTTTGCTTAGGTCTAAATCTTCTAAATTTGGCATCTTATTAAAACTCTCCGATGAGATATATTTTAAATGACGATTATGAGATAATTTTAATCTTTGAAGCAAATGCAAATTGTTAAAGGCCAAAGAATCTAAAAACTTTAGTTTTTTCATATGCTTTATATGCAAGTTTATTACGTTGATAGAATCGAAAGAGAAAGGGGTTATAGTTTCAATGGGGTTGCTACTTATTTTAATGGTATTAACAAAAGAAATTTCCTGTAAAGAAACTATATTTGATGAAAACAAATTATTTTCTGATAAATCTAGCGTCCCAGATATGTTTAGATTACGAAATGCTGTTTGACATATTCGGGATATTTTATTACCTTGAAGATTTAAATCATATATATTGCGCACTTGAGAGTTCTGTAAAAAGTTATTGGATATATATTTTATAGGTAAATTTAAGACTTTGTCGAACATAGGGTAATCGATCCTAGTAATTTTGTTATGACTAATAACGATGGTTCGAAGGTTAGGAATATTCACAAAACTGTCCCTGTTGAGGTAAAATATATTGTTGTTACTGACATTTAATGTTATGAGAAAAGGCAATACCCATAAATTGGGATTGATTTCTTTTAAACCATTATAAGATACGTCTAACGTTTCCAGGAGCAGGGAGTTTGTAAAGGATTCGGGATATAGCGCTACAATTTTATTGAATGAGATGTTTAAAGTTTTTAAATGCGGAATTATTTTCCATATATCTTTCCAATTCTTCATCGATTTGATGTTATTATTTACAAGATTCAATTGATTTAATGCTCTTAATCTTGGAAGTATATCGTATATGGGTATCGGTTCAGGGGAGGTAACGTTATGATTAGACTGATTTGTAGAGTAATCGTTACTACAGGAATCATTAAAAATAATTCTTTTTTTTGCTATGATATCCATTTCACTTGCAACTAATCTTAAATGAGTCAATTCTTCAGATAAATATTCATCAAAGAGGGTATAAATTGGCTCATGCGCAGTCGATACTTGGCAAATTGCCTTGGTATAATTATTGTTCACGGGATTATTTTGATTATTTATATGACCATCGCAAACGCATACCCGTGGACACATACCTTGCAACATGAATATTGGAAAGTAGAATGTGAGCATTGCAATTATTGTTAAAATCATTTCCTATTGGCTTGTAAAATTTTTACATGGATTTTCTGATAAAAAAATATATTGTATAATATAATTTAAAAATTTTATAAATTAGCCAAATAAAATATAAAATAGTCTCGAAATCTTATTTATATAAATAATGCTATATTATACGCATATAGTTAAAATTCTTTAAAAGATCAATATTTTTATTTAACTATTAATTATTTTTAAAGGGGTCAAAAATTAGCGAAAACCAAATTGATGATAAGATATTTATGGGTGAATTATTATTTAAATATCGATTTTAGACTCTTCAAATTTTATATTAAGCTTGACGTAACAATATTTAGTCATTTTAATTTTCACTTTATTAAACTTACACAATCTAATCAGATCTTTATAAAGATAATTTTAAAATATTCCTTTTAAATATTCCTTTTAAATATTTAATTGCTAAGAATTATTAAAAAATCGCTTCTTTGTTTAATTTTGGGTTATGATGAAATATTTAATTTTCTTAGCAAAATATCCTTATGCAAAGTTTAATTTTAAATCATCTTGTTTTTACATATAAAAATTTGACCTAACTAAAGAAGTAGAATATGATGTTGAATAATACAATAAATTAAGGCTGAATGAAAGTAGTAGATTATTTTTCCAAAAATCTACAGGATTTGGGGGGAGGGATTAAGAGCAGTCAATTTTTATTTTTATTTTATTTAAATAAAATTCAATACAGAATATATTTAATATACTTTTTTTTTAAAGTGATAAATCTATCATCAGATTAAAAACACTAAATTCTAAAACTAGGCAACTATTCACTGCTTTGTTCATGCCCATTTCGGTTAAATACTCCATAAAAGGAAGAGAGTAACAATAAACAAATTTTGGCCAACTTTATGATAAGATAAAGTAAGTGAAAGCACCAATTCTAAAACTTTTGACAATATTTAGTGTTTAATTAGTTTTTAAGTGCTTTACTCAATTTAATCCTAGTAATTTTGTTAACCAATATAACGGAAAGTTATGAATACAAATAAAATTGTCTCTATTGAAGTAAAATTTACTATAATTTTTTTTATTCGATTTACGATTCTAAAACCAACGAAAAAGTTAGTTAAAAGCCATAGATAACTTGGTGAGGGAGAATATATATATATTTTAAAAAATGGCTCAATAGTTACCCACTTGTACCTTAAAAAACATATAATAAGAAAGTAAAAATAAAATAAAGATAAAGATAATGGCGACAAAAATTAACATTATGTCAGAACGGGAAATATAGAAGCATTAAATATTTGAGTTGTGCCAATATTTAATTTGTCTATCAGTTTAGTCAGTTACAAAACAGAAATCAAATTATAATCAAAACAAAAACTATGACATCACGCAGTACACGTTACGTTAATCAAACGAAGCACTAAATTCTAAAGCTAATGGCGCTATATAGTTTTTTTTTAGTACTTCAAGGCATTTTTTTATACAATATAAAGAAGCAGAAAAGTTATCAGCAAATTGCCAAAATTGGTAATCATAGCTATAACGAAAAATGGTAAGGAACACTAAAAGCTATTATACAAAATTAATATATAATAGAGCATACATTTAAATTTTTCATATTATCCGAGAAATATATTTATTTTATAAAATTTATTAATTTAGATTAAATGTTTGATTTTGTATGTAAGCCTTTGTTTAAATTTCGCATCTATGTTCATGATTTAATAACCGAAACTCTTTATCATTATATGTTTCCCAAATAATTTTACTATTTATTAAATAATGTCACTTATATTGCGCTCCTGTAGAACGTTTGTATAATATAAGTAAGCTCATTTTTAGAGAAAAACCACCAAGACTATTATTAACTAAATGCGATGCACACAAACTGGATCTGGAAGAGAAGCTCCCTATCCGTTTTTGGATTGATTCTAGAATGAAACCTTAGGTGCGCCATTGATTCAGAATTAGATATTACGAATATATATTGCATTTTACCTCGCAAAGTATCATTCCAAACTTGTAAAATATTATCTCAAACGTAAATTTATCTTTTAATAATATGTAATGTAGTTAATATTCTTCTTCAAGCTTTGATAAAGAACTTGTGAGAATATATTTATAAATAATGTAAAGTTTTTTATGGCAGAGGCATGCATATTAGCACGTATCAAACATTGTCTGCGCTTATAATTGCATCTATATTCGAGGCCACAAAGACCGGGTCAAAAATCTTAAACATAAAACAAGCTGGTGGGGAGTATTAAAATATTTTTAAAACAATAAAAGGGCTGTGAATTTTAATTGGGGCAAAATGTGCGGAACGAGCTACATACTTTTTAAAATTTATTATTTTTATTTCATATTATTGTTTATTTTATAAGAAAATATATAAAAAATAAAATAAATAAAGAGCCAAATTAATAAATCAAATAATTTTTAAACTGAAGGGGGGGGGGAGGTTAGGCGGGCTAAACCCAATTTTTAGATAATGTGAGAGCGCAGGTAAATTTTTTTATAAGATACCATGAGCTGACAGGCGAGTGGGTTAAAATTTTTAAAGCAATGAGTGGACGGGAATTCGGGTTCAAAATCCGAAAGCCCGATTATAGCTTCACCCATTTGGGGGGAAGGGCAAAATTTTAGGAGGCAGTTATGAAACTTTTTTAAGACCATATAACGAGTATTAGTTATTTGAATACAAAATTGAAATATACGATTTTATTTGAAAATTGCCACATAAAAATATCAAATATGTTTATAAAATTAGATGGAAGATAACAATTTACTTATAGTTGGAAAGAAATAAGTTGAATTAATGACTTTACAACTATTATATAATAACATTGATTTAGTTTAATTGTGCTTGTATAATACTTGTTAGGGATTCCATTATAAAATATATGTAATTTAGAAAATATTTATAACAATATTACAATTGGTATTATGTCAATGATTGAGCAGTGTAAAACTAACAAAATTAAAGCATTAACAATATAATTTTGATGAGATGTATTTTAAAATACCTTGTTATTCCAAAATTTATAGGTATGGTTTTTCCATGTCCTAACAAAACCAAGTTACCCTTTCTCATAACACTAATCGAACCTTTATATTATTTAATAATTCTCTTTAAAGTTTATAAAGTTGACTCACAACTCGATTATGATCTAAACTGATTTCTTTCAATTGGTAAAATCCGTTTTGGTTGATTTACCATTGTTTAAGTTATATTTTACAAGAAAGGCAAAAACTGCATCCGCTTCATATTTAGCCTATTCGTATTTATATAATTTTAAAGCAAATCGTCTTCCATTAGTAACAGCCTTTTTAAGTGATGTAGGCATAGTTGTTAAAAAAATCTGATTCAGGTCGATTTAACGGACTGTTTAAGATTTTATCCAAAATAATATATGAGCGAAATCTCCATACTTACAAAAAATTATTTTGTACAATTTTGATCGGGCCATTTTTTTAAATGGACCCGAATGGGGATTTTAACACCACTAGATGCTGACCTATTTGTGATACCTGATTTAAATCAGTTGTAAAATATTAACAATAAGAATAACTAAAAAATTTAACCTATCCATTTTGTTTTTGGAAGCTCAGGCTCATTTCCTTATTCTGAGTCTTGGCACCTTGATTATTTTTATTCTTCCATCCACAATCACATTAATTACAATAAAAATTGTCCTCATAATATTTTATTTATAACAAGAATCGATAGTTTGAAGTTTGTCCTACATTACAATAGGATGAGGTTCGTTGGTGCTATTAGGTATTTCAGGAAATAATTTTTTTTTAAATCGATAGTAGTTTTAACAACAGTTATTTATCTCCCATTACATTCTTATTTTTAAAAAATTCCAAAAAATATAAAATATATTTTTCAGGAACCAAAAAAATTTTGAATTTTTTTTTGAAGAATTGTGCCTGCCGCTAACCTTCCCTTTGCAGACCTCTAATCGAGATATTTTATAGATAAAATTTAAAGTTTCTTCCAATTATCTCATCTATCTTAAGAATAAATCTCAACTTTTTATTATGCTGGGATAATATTTATATAAATCTTCAGTACCCTTTTTTTCAAACGACTATCTTCAAAATATCAAAAATTCCTACAAATGAGTTAATTCTTAAGTCTGTTAAGTCTACTTTAAATCAAAGATACATTATTAATGAGCATTTCCGCTATCTTGACTTATTAATTTATTTTAAAACATTTGAAAATACTGTACCCCTGGATTATTAACTCAAATAAAGATCATAGAATTTTAAATAAACACAAAAAGAAATCGATAACATTCAACTAGAAATTAACACAATTTTTAAAAAGGAACAATTCAATTAGTATTTTTTTTTAATATAGTAAACTCATGAGAATAATTACCATTTTTGCCTTAATAATATAACCGTTTAAAAATAAATCATAATTTATATAGATACACACAATATTCAGTCTTTTCTGTAAAAAAATAAAAAATATATTAATAATAACAATAGTTAGTTGACACAATAACAGTTTTTTCTTTCAACTTATCAAAACTTGTTTATAATAAACTTCACTATATTTATTCAATATAAACTTGATTGTAATTTATTGAAGGTTTTGTCAATGTTTGCTTTCTTATATAATTTAATCATAAAGTTAATATTGTATAAAAAAAATCAATATTTGAATTTTAATAATGATAAAATATTAAAGATTTATTGCTTTTTCATCTTTCTTTTATTCTAGGTTCTTTTAAAATCCATTCATTCTTATATTCAAGCTTTCGATGACTTCGATACAATATATTTTTCAAGTTTTGACAAAATAGTTTTGTAGAAGTCCTTTTCCGCAATCTTTTAAAAAATCCAAAAGTTCTTTCTTTCTTTTTTTATTATACAATTTAATATTATATCACCTCTAAGTTGTGCTTTGACGATTATTTTTGTAAATTTCTAAAAGTTTAATGATAAGAAACAATTTGAAATTCGAAAGTTATGAAAATAAAAAGATTAGCCTATATATACAATAATTTTAAAAAAATAACAAAGTAAAAATTAGTCTTTC